GGGACGTAGCTTCCGCCCGCCTCGCGCCCTTCTCCTTTTCTTCTTCTCCTCCGGTTCCCTTACCGGCCGTTCCCGGGCCTTTGTCCCGGTCCTCCCGGGAGGGGGAGGGCCCGTAGCTCCAGATCAGGTAGGCGACCCCCCCCGCCAGGACCACGGAGGCGCTCAGGATTCCGGCTTCCCGCAAACCCAACATGGTGGTCGGATTTCTGTTAGCCGTTACCCGTCTGAGTCCGCCATTTGGAGTAAAAGTTGTTTTTTTCGTCCGCCTCCTTGCCCTACTCTTCCTCAACAAGTGGATTAAGTGACAGGAAGCGGCGGATGAACTTCTCCACACGATATTTCCGGCTATAACCCGCCGCTGTTGCTGCGGTTCTACCAACTGACCACAAGAGGGAGACATCTCGACCCAGGACGCCATTGTTCCCAAAAGGACCTATAAGCGCATGCGCGAGAATGTACTCGTCACTAACTAAGATTATATATATTTTTTTAATGGTTAAGGACTACAAATCACAACAGAATAAACAATTTTTTTAATGGTTTAAAACAGTAAGTAAATTGTAGTCATTAGATAATGTTTTATTATAGCCAAACAGAAACATATGTACCATTTATGGCCCTAAACATTGAAACTGTAAAGTTAATGTTTTTATGCTGTGATGGATAAATACTTTATGAAGATAAAGACACTGGACTTGACATGGACTTGAAATGGACTTTCAAGAACTTTGAAGAAACAATTTATTTATAAATAGAACAAAAAGAGCTGGGATAAATAATATATTGAATCACAAAAATGAAAATCAGATTTTTTTCTTAAGTTCTTTATAAAAAATAAAAGACTTTGAACAGACATCCAGCCAGAAATTAACAACACTTTATTTATAAATGTAACAAAAAGAGCTGGGATAAATAACAGAATATATTGAATCACACAAATGAACATCTTCCTTTTATTTAGTTCTTTATCAAAAATAAACTTTGAAGAGACAACAGGCAGAAATAAACACTTTATTTATAAATGTAACAAAATGAACTGGGATAAAAAACTATATTGAATCACGAAAATGAACAATTTTTTTTTACAAGTTCTTTATAAAAATAAAAGACTTTAAAGAGACAATGGACCAGAAACGAAGGACGCTTTATTTATAAATGTAACAAAAATAAAATAACCAAAATGTAAACAAATATATTTAATCTAAAAAATGAACATTTTCATTTTTTCTTAACTTCGAACAGACATCAGGCCAGAAATGAACAACACTTTATTTATAAATGTAACAAAAAGAGCTGGGATAAATAACAGAATATATTGAATCTCAAAAATGAACCTCTTCATTTTTTTAAAGTTCTTTGTAAAAATAAATGACTTTGAACAGACAACAGACCAGAAACGAAGGACGCTTTATTTATAAATATAACAAAAATTACTCGGATAAATAAAAAAATATATGAACATCTTAATTTTTTCTTAAGTTCTGCATAAAAAATAAAGAACTTTGAACAGACAACTGACCAGAAACGAACACTTTATTTATAAATGTAAGAAAAAGAGCTGGGATAAATAACAG